TTCAGCAGAAATTGGAGAGGATTCCCCCTGTCGTGGCTGGGTTCTGTGCAGTGTGTTTGCAGTGTCCCCTCCACCTCTGCTGTCTTTCTCTGTGTCTTCCCTTTTCTCTAAAAGTTTGTGGGGATCTGGTGTGGAAGTCTTGCAGGTCTGAAGTGTCATAATGAATTTTCTGCTTTTCTTACACTGCTCTAATGTTGCTGTGCTCAAACACCAAGTGACAAAACCCACAAAAGCATGGCTGGTGGGCAGCTGAAGGGAAAAAGAGCTGAAGTTTCCACTGTGGGAGGGTGGCTCTGTTGAGTAAGTGGCCAGTGCACACAAGCTGCTGGTGGTTTTTATTCACTGTAATGTAATCATGCCTCTGAGCTCATAGTGTGAGAAAATAGTGCGGTAATCAATATTGTATTTCCTGTTCTGATACAAAGGTACCAAAAATAGCACCAGTGAATCTTTGTGCTTCTTAAACTGCAAATAGTAATAAGTGGGAATAATTTTTTACATGTACAGCAAGTAATGTCAGAGGAGTAGAAACCCCAGATCTCTGCAGGCTCTGCATTTGTTTCCAGTGAGTCAGAAAGTGAAGAGCAGTCAAAAAAAAGACAAAAATAAAAAAGACAGGACATGAGTTAGTCTGTAAAAAAGCTAAATAACACAGTCACTTGAGAGCGATCCTGGCACTTGGTTGTGTTATCCTACAGTTTTGTTAGAGCTTTTCCCATTTACAGTTGTTACCCAAAGGGTAGAAACTACTGTGACTTTATTCATAGGAGTATCTTGGTTTTAGGTGGTAAGGGATGCAGCAGCCTGTGTTGCTTGCTGTTCAATCACTGTGGTTTTGTTGCATTTGCATAAAGTAGAGCTATTTCGGACTCCATGTTTGTGACAGCCTACTGCTTCCTGCTTATCATAGCTTAGCAGAAGGTGGCTGAATATATTCACATGCTGCAGGGAACACAACTTACTGAGATAGGTCTTTGGAGGGATATCATTGGATTTTGCTAAGCAGGGTGACAAAGCTAACATCCACAGGTTTTCTTTTGATTTTTCTCCCATGTGTAGGATTGTAAGGGCAAAGATTAAAGATTAACTTCCATGTGCATTTTTCAAATGAAGCAAATGTTCAGTCCCACGAATCTAAAAATGTGTTAAGAGTAAAGTATCTACTTCTTGCTACTGGCCACCTTTGACTGTAGATAATGTGAATTTGCTTAACTGGTAGAAAATCAGATGACTGAGGGAAGAGTAGTTGAGAAATGGACAACTGGAAGTGTCCAAAGTGTAGTAAAGAAAAGCTCATTTTAATTTCTTTATTCTCTTCCTTCATACCTTTGATATTAAAATCTTCCTGTTTATGTGACTAGTTCCTGATCAAATGAAGATGGAAGACAGAGAGTCAGAACAAGAATCTGAGAGAAATGAGACGAGAAATCATAGTTTATGGACTAATGAGTCATTTACTCTAGCAGAGGTAACTGAAAGGTATGAAAAAAAAGGACAATAAGGCATGTTTGGCTTTGGGTTCCAAAGGTTCAGAATAATGGTTCCAGTACAGTTTTAACAAGAATCAGTGTTTATAGTAAACCAACTTTTTTAAGAACTCAGATAATTACAGCTGATTTATTTTAAAATATGTGGTATTAAACTTGCCAGCATCCATTTAAAAATCTGTTATTCAACAGGGCTCACTCTACTCTTGATGCTAGTTTAGAAAGAATGATCCGTGCAATTCCTGGAGATGAGAAGATCCAAGAACAACCTCAGGGACATGCTCTTGGGTAAGCTGATCATTGGTACTGTGTTTATTTTATGTTTTCTATACAGGCTTATGCAGGACTTCAGAAAATGAGCTGTTACTTCTTAGTGTGTCAGGGAGCTTGGCTGGAGACATCCATCTGAACTCTCCATGCTAAACTGAGAGGAAAAAGAATGCTATTCTAATATAATTTACATAGGTGGAAAGAAAATACTTGAGTAGGCTTGGAATGCAGTGCATTGTCTTCATAGAAATGAGAGAAAATTTTGACAGAATGGTGAGATTTTTTGAGATAGAGAAGAATGGCTGTTAAGAGAACAAAATAATGAAAACTCTATAGAAAAGACTTCAAGGATTAGTTTGGAAGGGTTATACTGTTGTGGCAATATAGGAGGAAGTTAAAAAAATGGCAGAAGTCATCTGTACATCACTGTAAGGATAAAAGACTCATAGCCCAAATAACTTCTTTCTCTTAGAACTGAAGTGCAGAGCCTACTGCCTGAACAACTCCACAGTCAGTGGAGCAGTCAATCATTCCTATCATGTATCTTACTAAGGAACACAAGATATTCTTGTGGTTGGCATCAGGATTTTTATTATTTTTTTTAATTGAACACAGAAGGAAAATACCCTGATAACCAGGAGGATCTTGCTGACAGGACAGAGCAGTTCCTGCAGTCTCTGTACTGCCATGTGGGTAAATGGCTCGACCCCAAGCCTGTTCAGACTTGCAGTCAGACTTCAGTTACTTCATGCTGTTACTGAAGGAATCACTGGAGTCTGTGCATGGATATAAAGCTAAAGCACATCTGTAGTCTTGGAGGGGAGGGGCTGGAGGGGGCAGATCCTCAAACAAGTCAGGGTAAAATCAAATAGGCATCTCCAGAGGCTTTTTTTTTTGTGCTCTCTGTGTATCCTGTCTAAAAGAAAATACAAAAATGAGGGATGCTACAGAAAGGTCTGTTATTCAAGGGCTGCAAGTCTGCAAGATCCAGAAGATGTTGGAAGAAGAAGGGAGTAGAGGAAGGCAGAGCTGAGGCCAGAGGCAGAGTGCCAGGAAGCTGTGCAGGTAGCTCAGAAGGTCCTCTTCATCTGCAGAGCTTCTGAATGCTGTGCTGGGCATTATCACTTTTCTTATATTGTTAGCCCTGAATCTGTTGAGCTTTCACAGGCCATTTGTTTTTGCTTTTCTTGACTTCCCCCACTTGCAGCAAAAATTCCTTGCTCTGTTGCATTGTGTAGTTTTCAGTGTTATAGACAAAATTATTGTAATTGTCTGGACTGCTGTTACTGCTCAGGCACTTGTTAAATTTTTCCACGCTGGAGTGTGGAGCAGAGTTCCAGCCCATGGAACGGATGTTTTTCCTTGCTCATTAAATTTAACAAGGTAATTTCTTGTTTTCTCTCTTCTTAGTGCTTTTGTGATCTAGTGTTGAACTGATTTGACTGATTAAGGGGATTAATTGCTGTGCAAAAAGCTAATGAGAGTAAGGCAGTGTTCTCCAGAGATTGCAAGTGCAGCAGTACGTTCCCTGCCAGTGTTAGACAAGAATGTGAGAAAATCTGGTTTGTATTACAGACATATCTGTTGTTTAATTAAACCACAGTTTTGGTGTGCCTCATCCCTGACAAAGTCCCTGGATATAGACTGGAGCTTTGGATGAAGATTTTGATGGACACAGCAATGGGAAAACAGAAATGACAGCTTTGCAGAGCAAGTCTGTCCTTAGTGCCTTGTGAGCCAGAACAGACAAACAGACAAGGGTTGTTCCCTCTCACTTGGGTCAAGGTTTTGTTACATTTCATAGAATTGCTTAATTAACTCAAAAGGAATTAGAACATTTCTGGCTGCAGCAGGATGGAGGGGTGGAGCAAGCACACGTGCACTTTTGCATGCACATAATTATATATCACTTTGGTCTGCAGCATGCGACATCTCCTTAGCTTCTGGTTTTCTTTTTCTATTTATCTGTTGGACCAAATGGTGAGCAGACTGTGAACCATTTCCCTATCTTTTTTTAAATCTTAATGTGGAGAATTTTTATTGCTATTGGTAGAGAGCCTTTCAAGTGGTCCCACAGCCTGTTTGCCCTTATCGAGGCCAGAACACAGCAGTGGGAGATTGTGGGTTTTCAGCTGCTTGTACTTTTCCAGATTTGAGTTTAGCAAGAATGTAAATCATCCTAATAACATCAGGCATGGAGACAAAAACTGTAATTAACAGGAACACTTAAATACAGACCAGTGAAAGACAGCAGAGAGGATCAGAGGGGGCCCATCTAATGCTGCTTTTCAGCTTCCTAGAGAATGAAAGGCAAATTAATTAAATTAAAACTGAGCTGTTCTAATTCCTTTCTGAGCCACTAGCACACAAGCTGTTTGGCATGGTGGAGAGCAAGTAGAGAGGGAGGGTGAGACAGAGGGATGGGAGTGAGGACAGGTGTCCTATCCCTCCTGTACCAGGGGTGCAGCTCTGCCTGTAGCTGTATCTCTCTGGAGATATTTGCAGGACCCTGCTGGAAATCTGAGTGAAGATAAGCAAGAAAAGTACATGTGCATTCTCTAAGCAGCTCCCTTGTACCTGTCCTCAGACTGGTCTTGGATTTGGGATTTTTGTTTTGTTCTTGTTTTGGAGCAGAGAATCTCAGAGGGGGGGAAAAAAACCCAAATCCCATTGTAATCTATGCTGGTCCAAATGGCCTTTCTGAGTCCCTGGTAGGAGATTGTGGACCTTGTGCTACTGAGGTGATGGACAACGTCCAGCATCTCTTCCCTCCAAATCCTTCACGGGGTTGCTGAGGAAACTGTACAACAGACACACGTGAACTTGTCACTGTTCATTAATGTTTATTAAGACAGTTTGCACTCCAACCTGCTGGATTTTTGAGTTTCACAGCATCACCTTGAACTTCACAGGAGATTGGGCAGAGACAGGGAGGGCTCTGTCTGTCGAGGGGTGGTGAACAAGTGGCTCTGTCCTGTGGAGAGCTTTGGAGGTGGTGTCACAGCTGAACATGTTCCACCTGACTCTGGGGCTGAATGTTTTGTATCAAAGAAACATCAATCTCTTTTTTTGTTTGTTTTTAACAACCTCCTGCTGCCCTGAGCTGAGGGGCTGGAAGGGAGAGGTGTTTCCCTAGGAGAGCAAGATAAAACGTTGTGGTTCACTCTGTGATCAGGTGGCTCCTCTCCCATGAGAAGACAATGTCCTGTCTTTCTGGGGAGCAGCAGGGGGTGCTTGGTGGGGACTTCTCTAACCTCCAAGGGCCACCTGTCTCCTGGGTGTCGGCAGGAGCTGCCTCACCAGGCCCTTCTCTCTGCCCATATTGAAGGACACCAGGTGGGACAGGTTGAGCAAGTAGCTGACGCTGATCCAGCCAGGATGTGACCACAGTTAGATGGGGTGAGATGGTGCCACCTTATTCGACATCCCCTGTGCAGGGATGGCTCTGGGGGGGCTGGGTGCAGCTGGAGCAGTTTTTCCCCTTCCCCAAGGCTGGTATCTGCAGCACAGCATGGTCAGCAGGCAGCTCTGAAACTGGGAAGGGAAAAAGCAGGTTATGTGTTGTGGCAGAAAGCTACTGTCCATCTCAAGACAGAGGGTGTCAGCCCGTTGTGTTCTGGGTGAGATCTCTATTAATTCCCAGCCCAATTCTTTGCAGATGCTGCCAGTTCATTGGCAATAAAAGTTTCATTCTGTTTGCTCTGTGTTTTCAAGGAACAGTTTGTGAGCTAAAATTAAGTTGTCCGATCCCATAAAATCATGGAAGCAGAAAAAGAGCTCTTGCTTGGACTCTGGGACTGCTCCATCCCTTTCCATTTTATTCCCCAGAACCTGACTGCTTATAGGGCTACTCCCAGGTCAAGCCTGCTTCTGCACTTCCAGATAGGATCAGTGGTTCCTCCACACTTTAAGAGGCTGTGATTTCATTAACTACTGGCTTTTTCTCTCACCTGTTTGTTCATGAAGACGTAGATGATGGGATTGTAAACCGTGGCGGTCTTGGAGAAGTAGGAGGGCAGGGATGCAAGAGCTGGTTGGATGACAATGTCTTTGTTGGTGGCCACCACCAGGGCAAACGTGGCATAGGGCAGCCAGCAGGTGAGGAAGGCCATCACCATCACGATCACCATGCGTGTCACCTCCCGCTCCCCCTGCTGCGTCCGG